TTTTTTTAATCTTTTCTGTTTGTCTGTCCTTTTTCACTAATCACCTTACTCTTTTGCCAGATTTATGACATATTCCAGCTTCTGCCCGCCAAGGTCCAAGTCGGTGTCTTCTCCGCCACCATGCCACCCGAGGCCCTAGAAATCACCCGCAAGTTCATGAACAAGCCTGTACGAATCCTGGTCAAACGTGATGAGTTGACCCTCGAGGGTATCAAGCAATTCTACGTGAACGTCGAGAAGGAGGAGTGGAAGCTCGAGACTTTGTGCGACCTTTACGAGACTTTAGCCATCACACAAAGCGTGATATTCGTCAACACCCGAAGAAAGGTTGACTGGTTGACCGACAAGATGAGGAGCCGAGACCACACAGTCTCGGCCACTCATGGTGACATGGACCAAAACACGCGTGACATCATCATGCGCGAGTTTCGCTCGGGCTCGTCTAGAGTCCTCATTACAACTGACCTTTTGGCTCGTGGGATTGACGTGCAACAAGTGTCCCTTGTGATAAACTATGATCTCCCGACACAGCCCGAGAACTATCTGCACCGTATCGGGAGAAGTGGGAGGTTCGGGAGGAAAGGTGTGGCTATTAACTTCATGACTAAGGAGGATGAGAAAATGCTTCACGATATTCAGAAGTTTTACAATGTGGTGGTTGAAGAGCTACCGTCGAACGTGGCTGACCTGCTTTGAATGGATGGGGGTCCCGTTTTCTGGTCGGAATTTCCTTTCTTTTAAAAGTACTAGGCGAAATGTTTTTATTTTTATTTTTTGAAGTTTTATTTTGCAGAGATTATTGTGTTCGACCCATTGTGAAACTGGGAGCATGCTTGTGCGAAGCGTTGATCAGTGTTCACTTTTGGGTGGGGCAATGTTAAATGCTAATGCAATTTTGTTCTGTAGGTACACTAGGTATGTAAGGCATTTGGATCTTTTGCCCAAATTTTTGGTTGAATTCTAATCAAATTATTTTAATGAATGTGTGTTCTTTCATTACTGATGGTGGTCTTGCTTTTGCTCAGTTTTTCCTGCAAAGATCGAGTATGAATTGAAGTTATTTAGACCAGCAAACTCTACATATAATATAAGGATTAAAAAGTGTGTCTTTTTATGTTGTAAGGTTCCCATAAATTCACACCAGAATATCTCATGCCTCTAAAGAAATAAGCAGAAGAACTCTAAAGAATAAGCAGAAGAAAACAAGATTGTAGGGCTTAAAGTTACAGCCATCAGCCTCATTCAACAAAGAGGTTTGATTAATGTAAAGTTACAGCCATCAGCCTCATTCAAGACTACCATCTTTCATTGTTAGCGTTCGAGTCCCGTGCTCAAATTTATAAGTCTGTACGGCATCAATTCGTGAGAGAAGGTTTTGCTTTAGATTGGAAGTATAAATTTATGATTCTTGTACAAGAGATTAATAACTATGCAAAGACTGCACAATAACTATATTGGAGACTACTGTTGAGTTAATATTTGCATAAATCACATAAACATGACATTAGCTTGAACAGGATCAACAAAAACCTTCATTACTTCTATGCGCACCTAATCCTAAGCTATTTTCGATAAAAACTCGAAACAAATGATAATCAATTTTCTAGTCCCTCCATTTCAATCTAAAGCAAACTTGTACCCGTCTGTTGTTCGGGCAAAGTGTAGCAGCAGATTCTAAGAATCTTGGTCAAACGGGCAAAGTGTAGCAGCAGATTCTAAGAATCTTGGCCCCTCTTGACGCCATTCATTACAATCCTTGTCAAACACATCCATGACAGCTCCCTCCAAACCTTGTCTCCAAAAGCAGCTTTCCTTTCCTTCTTCTCTCTCTTTCTCCTCCAATAACAGCATTCAGCACACAAAACCCACGATATCCTCCGTGCCTCCATAAAAAATCGTACATATGTTCCTCGGACGACAATAACAAAGCATGCAGTTCAAGAAAGCTATCAACGAAGAATGCGAATCACCACTAAAACACAGCTCCAAGTAATCAAACTCCACCACAGGATTATTATTATGATGACTATGGTGATTTTCGAAATTGACCGGTTCAAAAGGATTCAACTGATATACTGGAAGTCTCATCCAAATCTCTGACCGGCTCAATTCCTCGAGCAGCTTTCTGAGGTCGATAAACCACTGAGACGAATGGGCGAGTCGATCCATATTAAACATAAGGTAATTTATACTCGATTTCCACATCTTAGTCGAAGTTTCTCCAGAAAAAGAGATTGGCCCAGCATCATAAGGTCGATAAACAAACTCCTCTAATACAGGGGCATCAATCTTGATTTCACGAAGAACCTGCTTACGAGAGACCCAAATGGTCAGGTGACGAACCAAACAGTTCACAAGTCGGAAAGTATCGAAGCCCGTGCAGGACTTGATTGATAATTGCTCGAGGCAAGGGAAATCGGCAGAGGAGATTTCGAATGACTCCATGGGCAAGAATATGTTATCCAGGCAGAGGGACCTGAGAAAGGGGAAGCACGTGGGGTAGTTGATACACCTGGCATTGTTCAAGCCTTTGATCTCGATGCTCTCAAGGGTTGGCACAGTATCTTCGAATATGATTTCCAAAGCCGGATTGTTTAGGTGCCTTGTCATGGCGAGAGCCTCCTCAAAGTGGAAGTGCTCGAGGCAGCCATGGTTAAGCCGGATGGTCGTCGGGGCGAAACACGAGATGAGCTCCACGCGCTCGACAAGGGGGCAGCCGGGAAGGATGAACCGATCGAGGGTGTCGTTGTGGATGCAGACCCGGGTGAGGGAGAGTGACTTGAGGTGCTTGAATCGACCACTGAGTCGGCCGGGTTGAAGATCAGGCCGCAGTTAGTTAGGGATAGGGATCGGAGGGAATCGGACTCGAGGACAGCAGGAGGAAGGTCGA